ATTGGCTGCAAGAGTAGAAGAATGAACTATAAGTCGTATCTAATTCTTAACATAGGTTGGCAAGGTATTGCTAATGTATCTTCCACTTCATCCGTTCATACAATGATATGCATATGGAGAAGTAGGAGGGGCAGGTGATACAACCCAGATGGAAGGCCAGAAAACTAAAGGACTTTCATCACTGGGACTTACTGCCTCTTCTTAATTAGAAGGAACAACTCTATGCATTACTAGCCAAATGCCTACTTAATAATATTAGGAATGAGAATTGCAATGCATTCTAGTTTAAGTCTTTGGGCGAGAAATGGTTGAAAGTAGATTGGTATTAAAGAAGAGGAAGTTTCTGGAAGCATAAAAGTTTGGCAAGTCTTTTCAGCATGATTTTCTCATTACCTGGTCATATATAGAGTCCAGATAAGACTTAGCCAGCTGAGAAACTGGGTATTGATTAAAATCCCAACAATGCAGAACTCTTGCAGGCAAGACAGCCATATCATTTGTATGGCATGAAGAGCAGTACAACTGGCCACTATATTCACAAAGACGAGGCTTGCCCCAGCCCAGTGTCTGTGCAAGTTCCTGTATCCGAGTCTTTCCATCATCAAAACTTTTGTAGCAACCAGCACAAGAATAATGTTGCTCATCTAGCAGTTGTTTCTTTGATTTGAGAGGCCTTTTATTAACAATTAGGGATATTTTTTGCCCCAAGCTGGAAACATCCCCTCTGTTTGTGCTTCTTGAAGAATATGGAGACTGAGGTATGTTTGTATCAGAAGCGGGAGAATTAGGAACATCCTTTGACGGGGACAAGAAACAAATCAGAGCATTGAGGGGACCTGAACGAAACTTGTCATGGAGAAGTGAGTGTAAACACTCTTGAATGAGAACACTTCGGTCAGCAACAACATTAGGTGAAGCACTACCAAAAATCTTTCGTGATTCTCGTTCAGTGGCGGACCAGACAGGTGGGAGAATCCAGCCTTGATCTGCAAATGACTTCTTCAACTGACGATAGAGAGCACAAAAATCACGATACCGCCTCTCAACCTCCCAATAATCATCACCACTCCACACTTTTATTCTATAAACAGTGTATTTCTTCACTCCAACTAACCGCTCACTAAGTGAAACATCCCCCGTCTTCTGTCTTGCACCAACGACCTCCACTCTATCGAATCTCAGAGGGCGTTGAGTATCATGACTAACATCAGATGTAACAGAAGTCGAAGCAGTAGAACCACCATCTCTAGAAGGAAGAGGTATATAAGAATGATGTATCTTGTTTCCAAGAGCAAACCCAGGAGATTCGCCAGAGTCAAGCAATATTTCTTCCATATCATGAACAACCTCATTATAGAACTTGTTCAACTCAAGGTTGTGTGTCTGCATAAGGAGGATAAAGTGCAGCATCAAGACAAGGAACATTGTATACAGGACTTAGAAAAAATTAACAAAAGCAAGAGAGTATAATAAATAACCCAATATGAAAAGAAAAGGCAGCCGCCTATAAACCAGAAATCAGAAAATACATGCACAAATGAAATCCTACTTATGTCACATGTTCCTGCAAAATATAACTATCAACATGAAGGACCTTGGCTAGCCAAACAAATGGTTTTACAAATGCAAAAAAATCACCTAAAGTCAATTTGCGGTAGAATATGAATCAGAACATGTTCCAAGGAAAAAGTTTATAAAAAGGAGGAGGAATTTGAGGACTTCTCCACTTAGATTTTTTGGGTTGTTCCAAGGTAGAGGTTAGACATGACAAGTGGGTTGAGTCAGCCCATTTTTTACCTGGACGGGTCCAGTCAAAGTGAGCCTAGGCCGCGCCGGGAAATTAAGGGGTCCGTAGAGGGCTTGCGAAAAGTTGGACCAGCTTTTTTGACTTTCAGTATTACTCTTTGGGCCCTAAAATCTCTCAACTATAAATACCTTTCATCCCAAACTTTATTCTTCAGCCTTGAACTCTAAATTCTCTCCTCTCTTTTTAATCTATCAAAGCTCTCAACTATTAATTCTCAAGCTATTGATTAGTGTTTGAAGTATGAGACATCAAGCTCCAAGCTCAAATTTCAATTAAGTTTGGGAGATCAAGATCCAAGGGCTGGATCTGTCTCACCCCTTCTCAAATTTTTACTATCCCATTAGGGGTTGGCCCCAAACGTAGCTCGCAGGCTCTTCACTTAATGTACCAAATTTGATCCAGCCCAATCCACTTAACATGTATAGTGTAGGTACTACAAAATCGATAAGCATTAATCTAGTTATCACAAATTTTTCCAACTTCATAGTAAATATTATTATTTATGATCATCTCCCTTACAAAGTGAATTCTTCTTTCTTTTGTTTTCTTAAGAAGCCTCTCACTAGTTGTTGCTATTTAATCATTTTATTTTCTGTTTGTTCTTCATCGTCAAATAGCACACACCCCCACCAACACCTACTCCACCTTTGTTCTCCTCAATTAGCAGACCAAAGATCCATTTCATATTGAACCAAACTGCACAATTGTCAATCAATCAACCACTCCTCACAAATCAATCAAATTTCACTAGTGCAACAAAAAGGAAAGATCTAAAGATGTAAACATGTCCTTGTTGTACATATATATGTCATTGCATGATTATGCATATTTTTTTCAATCATTCGTGTACTATAAGCACTTAAAATTTAATTGGATTTTATAGGTCCAATTATACATGTAGATTTAAGTTGAATCCAACGTCATTTGGATTAAACTATTAATTTGGACTTTACAAGTTAAACAAGTCCATTTTATTAGTTTTAAGCCCAAGATCCACTTGATCTTGAGGCCCAAACTCATGCCATGCGTCCAGTGACATGACAATGCCGAGATAACGCCATGTGTTTAAATGACGTGGCATGCCAAGTCAAATTAAGGACCAACCAAAGGCAACGAAGTGTAAAATGACATATGTAGGCCAATCAAACACAATCTTATCATATAACTTCTATGATAGGCTTGATGACTCATATGAGCCAATCAAAATCATTTGGGAGAAGTCATTTACAATTGGATCGCTAACCCCCTACAGCTATAAGTAAGGGATTACATATCTCTCTTTGTGATTCAAAGTTGGAGAAGAGGTCATTCAAAAGTTCACAAAAGATCAACAGATCAACCCAAAGTATCTAAATGCTGCTTGACTTTCTTGAAGATCATATACATCACGAGGAAGTTCACATCATCCTTCGTTCAAGAAACACATTGATCCAGCCCTCAAATCACGACAAAATTTTGAAGAGGAGTCACAAGAATAATTGAATTTTACTCGCAAAGATTTAATAATAAAATCTTTTTTTTTCTTTTTATATTTGTCTCATGATTGCAATTTATTTTGTAAACTCGAATTTTTTCCGAACAACTTTATCGCACGCTTGATAGGACAAGTTTTGCCCTTCATCTCTCCATCTTGCAAACAGAAGCCTATAAACTTCAAAGATCAACCGTAGCCTTTAGAAAGAAGAACGATACTACTTCAACAACATTTACTATGTTGCATCAGCTAAACGTGATCGTACTCGTTCTGATAACTCGAACATGCTCAAGGCTACAACTACGACTTTTGGGGGTAACACCATGTTCTCTCCATCCGATATAGTCTCTCAAATTAGCTCCAACCTTGACGAGTTCGAGGATTCAACAAATTCATGTCAATACGCTGATATTGATGAAACCAACATGGATGAAAAACTTGTCGTGATGGAACAAACTATCGAAGCCTTGAGAAATCGGTTGAAGACATAAATCTTCAAATCGCCGAACTTATAGCAAGATAAGCTCTATAACCCTAGAGAGTCAAGTGACAACTCAACACAGCAAACAGAGGTTGTTAAATCTCCACCAAGATGTCTAACGCTTTAAATGTAAAACAATTTGCTTCAGTGGCCACATTGATCGACGGTTCAACAACTACAAGATCACGAACACCATCACGACTCAGTATGGTGGAACGTTACAAAGTTCGTTGTATTATTCTAAACCATATGCTAAACTGATCAATTGTCTACCAATGTCGATTAGCTATCAACCATTATAGCTGCAAAGGGGGTCAATCTCTGTCCGATACGAGGAAACCTTTGCACGCATCCGTTAATCAGGATGCTTATATCCTTACANTCTACCTTCCCCAGACCCCACTTGTGGGATTTTACTAGATTGTTGTTGTTGTTGAGACTATCCCTTGGCTCATAGGTCTTGAAACAAGGTTAGAATTTTAGCCCTTCCAAAGTGGTATCTCAATGATGGATCGATCTTTTGGACTTTAAAACGGCACGCAACGGATCGATCAAGAAGACAAAAATTGTATACTAAACCTTCCCACATGGGAGAGCTAAGAAAGGGATTAGCACTAGCGCTAAGTTGTTATTTGATGGCAAATATTGCCCACTTTGTAGAGACTTGTAGCAAAGTTGGAAATCATGATGATATGTTAGTTGATCAGTTTGCTTGTACGCTGAAAGGGAATGCCTTCGATTAGCCTACTCATCTTGAGCCTGAGACAACTTATAATTGGATATTCGCGACAAATAAATCTTTACTAATAAAAGACATCTTTGTGAACGCAATTATGTGTATTCATTTATTCCTTTCTAAATTTTCTCTGTGATTCGAGGGTTAGAGCAGCGTATTTTTTGAGTAAAAGATGACGTAGACCTCCTCGTGATGTCTTTGATATCCAAGAAAGTCGGAGAACCTTCGAAAATCTAGTTTTATCTCGAGGAAGAACTCCGTTGAGCACTTCTCTCTTACTAAAGAGTTATGTATTTGATGTCTTAATCTCTACTTGTGAATGATCTTTTGTGAAATTCCAAATGACCTCTTATCCAGTTCTGAATCATCGGAGAAATATGTGACCCCCTATTTGATGTTGTAGAGGATAGGCAATCCAACTGTACATGAACTCACCCAGGTGATTTTGATTGACTCATGTGAGTCATCAAGCCTATCACAAAAGCTAAGTGATAAGATTGTATTTGATTAGCCAAGACATGTCATTTTGACACGTGCCAGCTTTGATTGGTCCTTATTTTGACTCGGGGTGCCACATCATTAGAATACGTGGCATTATCTCATTGCCTTTGGATTTGACCGGGCATGCCATGTCATTAGACATACAACATAAGTTTGAGCCTCAAGATGAAGTGGATCTTGGGCTTGCAACTAATAAAATGGACTTATTTAACTTGTAACATCCAAATTAATTGTTAAACTCATATGAAGTTGGATTCAACTTTTCTCCGGATATATAATTGGACCTAAAAACTTCAATTAGATTTAAGTGCTTAGTGCTTAAATATACCACTGCTTGTTATCAGCAAACGGATAAGAACATCCATAGGCATCACCATGCTCAGTTAACGAAAAGATTGACATAAGTTCATTTAAATACGCATAGTTTTTAAAAAGCCTCCTGGATGAAGTGATATCCAAGATAACTAAGTTGTTAAACGTGCATATATTTTGGCAGTAATGTCAAATATTCATTAAAACAATAACTTTTATGTTGGGAAAACAGAAGTTTAAGCAACATATATTCCATGATAAAGCAGCCACCCATACAGTAACAAGATAACTTCCTAAGCACCCTAATGCTTTCAATGTTAAGGATTTTCATTGAAATTTTGCTGAAAGATTTTCAAATTTAAGTAGATTCTAGACTCCCCCTACCAGCATGATCCATCACAAAAGGAAAAAACAGGTAAAAGCCTTAACCTAGTGTATGGATATGTAATACATATATGTCATTGTGAAGCAATTACTCATAGCAAGCATTGAAAAATGGGTCACCAAAGCTATCACTCTTTAACAAGCTATGTAACTAAAAATGGAAACATGCAAATGTTGCAAATTTTTATATCCATGTAACAACAGATATGCATGGCACTTAACAATCAGTATGCAGTTTGTATCATAAGCTTAGCTTCCCATAGATCATATAACATTATGTCTCCATTTGACAACCTCATCCTATGCATTTACATTAGCAATCTAAAAATGGCTTTTGTATAGAATCATGTTTTTGTGTAGGTTTTCCACTTGTTGTGTGCCACTTGTATACCTGGACTTTTCCACCTCTGAAGAGGTATTACCCTATAGGAAAATGCCATCAATCCAAAAAATTGGTCATGCATTTCCTTATCAATTTCATTCACATGACAAAATTCAAAGAAACTATAATAACAATGCAGAGATTGGTCCGCTGCAAACTGCAAACAAAGAAGACACAAGTGCTAATAGAGCTCTTGAAAAGAATCATACCTTGCCTGATGTAAGATGGTCTTCCAAGTAATTGACGGAGGACGAACTATTCATTGTTCCATGTTTGGTCCTTGTAGCATCAGCAGCCACTGATGCTGATGAAGGAGATGAGCTCTTGTCTGCTGATAGTTCCACTGTTCTATCATCAGAATGCTCCATAGACAGATAATTTTTGCTTGTAGCAGAACGAGACAGAGGGTCCAACAATAATCTTAAGTTCTCAGGCTCAGCTTTTCTAGAAACAAGATCATCAGTAATGTGAATAACTTCCTCAGTACATACACATTGATCTGTTGGTTCCAATACTTCCACCTTAAGTTTAGCACCCTCCATCAAAGAGGCTTCTCCTGGTTTTCTTTGGGGATTATGGTCCACTTGCAACATATTGTGAACAGAAGACTTGTCATGGAACTCCGCTGATTCATTGACTTTTCTTGTTTCATTGTTCTTAACAAGCATCGCTTTCTCACCTTCAGCATTCTCTCCTTCCCCCTGGTTTAGAAGACTCAAAGGATCCACATTATAAGTAGTGGTGTGCTCAGTTGATTCATTACCACCTTGGCCCTGATAACTGGGCAGAAGAGTACCTTTCTCCTTTTCTTTAGGCATTGTTAAACCTACACTTGAAAACTCAGCATTGACAGTTGAAGCAGAACTCAAACATCCATTTTCACTTTCAATACTTGGTTGGTTTTCAGCTTGAAGTTCATTGTGNCTTGGTTGGTTTTCAGCTTGAAGTTCCTTGTGTACCATTAAAGTCGGAGTAAATTCTCTATTTTCTTGCATGAAATCATCCCAATCATTTGAACCAAAGGCTACTGCAGAACCCATAACTAGCTTATATCCATTCTTGTCATGTTCTTCATGTGAGTGTTTTACTTCTTTCCTGAAATATGAATCATTCTTCTCATCATCTGTATTACCTCCGAACATTGAATCCTCGCCTTCTGAATACTCATATCTTGAGGAGGTCTCACTTTCATCCAAACACTCAGCTCCACCAGTTGCTGCACCAGGTTGCAGACTTGACACCTCCAAGCTCCCATCTACAGCTTCAATATCCCTCTGAAATTCTGCTTCAATTTCCAATGAATTATTACCAACTCCCGAAGCTTCAGTGTCTCCTTCAATGAGTACGCCGTTCTTATATTCGTCAGATGTACAAGAACTTCTGTTAAAGTGTAACTTAGTACCATTGTCACTCCTCATGTTTAGCGTTTCGTCATCCTTGACATACCATTCGTCACCCATATCCATGTTTTGTAAAAACGTTTCCTCATCCATGAATCCTGCATTACCATACAAATCTAATCCCTTTCCGATACCCACCAACCCCTCCTCTTGTGCACTACGCTTTCCACCACTATATTCACTTCCTCTAGTAGAAGGACCCACCCCACTAAAATCTGATAACTTCTTACAACCCCTAAAACTTTTTACTCTATAACTGTCATCCCCTAATTTGAAGCTTCCAGGAAACTCATGAAATGCAGTCACAACTGAACCTCTAACAGTTGGAGTGCCCATGGCCGAGTTAGCACTGCAGTATCTCTCGAATTCCGACTCAGCATCACATGACGAGTACTCAGTTAAGTCATCACCATCCTCCGATTTCTGACTTTGCCATGAGAACTCATTTCCCAGTGGAACAAAAGGAGAGGACACCGTGGAAGTTAAGTTCTCCTTAGTCCCCTCTCCGTTTTCCATCTGATTACAACCAGCAGTGAAAATTGTACATTTAACATATATCCAATACCAAAAAGTTCAGAAATATAGTCATTTAAGTTTTCACATAGAGTACTCCCTCTCTCCCAATTTATATGATGGGATTTCCTTTTTTAGATTGTCCCAAAAAGAATTGACACATTTCTATATTTGGAAACAAATTAACTTAAACTTCATATGTTACTTAATGAGATAATCTATGGTTACACAAATATCTGGTTTGTTTTAAACCACAAGTTTCAAAAGTGTTTTTTTGTTTCCTTAAATTCTATGTCCAGTCAAACAACACCACATAAATTGGAAAGGAGGGAGTATATATATCAGTCAATCTACTACGTCTCAATCCTAGATCAGATTGGTTGGTTATATGCTTATATGAATCATTTATATCCATTCCGCTTTGTTAGTCAAACTTGACATTTTTCCATTGAAGATATATAGATTGTTCCTTTTGCATCTGGGGTATATAGAGAAGACGAGTTTAAAAACTAAATCAGATAACTAAATTCAAATCGAAGCATAAAATCAAGAATTTAAAAGCTCTTTTATGTAGTTCCGATCTTTGGACAGGGTTAAATTGAAAACAATTTTCAGATACTAATGGGATTAGTAGTTGAAGCTTAGAAAATGGGAGGACGAACTGACCTCGGAGATCGACTGACGAGAGCACAACAGAGATCATAGAGAGAGAAACAAGTTTGATGATATGTTAGAAACTTTATTTAAAGTTCTTTACCATTTTGGTCCTAATATAAGTGCATATTAGACTTGAGCCTTTGCAAGTATGAGAATGAGAACTCTAGTCCAGGGTTTGATAATTTCAAATTTGGTAAAAGGCGAAATATATCCCCTCTACTATAAAAAAATTATTTAAACTTACCCTTTATTATACTATGGATCAAATTTATCCTTATTTTTTACGGTGAGCCACACGGCACCTCCTTATTAAAGGACTCACCCCTAATTTAATCTATTCGATTTAATTAAAAATCCTACTCATAATCCGACCCGTTACCCGACCCACCTCTTCAGCCTTTCTTGTTCAACAGTAGGTTCTTTGATTTTTTATTTTTTTTTCCAAATCCAAATTCACAAATTCTAAACCAAAATTATGGGAGGGAAATTTCCCCAAACTCATTGGCCAAAATTGTAGTTATAGAGAGATCTAAACCAAAATAAGCTTATAATGGGAGGGCATGGAGGTTCAAATATTCTCCCACAGACGCAATGAAACATCTACAACTACGAAGATCGCAAGAAATAAAATGAAACGAGAAAGCCATCGCAAAAGAGGAACAAATCAAACAGCAACAATGTCACGACCCAAATTCCCAACTAAAAGGGATCGTGATGACGCCTAACGACACTTGCTAGGCAAGCCAACAGATAGCAATAATAAAGGCAATGCGAAACACAAATGACATGATACTATAAATAAAAGATAGAATTAAGCAGAATTAGATCAAGTCTAAAACCCTCAACCATCTAACATCTCCTAGAAACTGGAGTCATTGAGTACATAAGCATCTACAGATTTAACAAAATACAAAGTTTGGAATAACATTACACTGTTCAAAATAAATAAATATTAGTATGACTATGAGACAGGAGACACCAAGGCCTGAGAATGAGAGTGAAACACTACCTTCGGTCTCCTCCGCCAGCTAGCTAGTCTGCTCTCTGAGTACCACGGGAACCAGCACCAAAATCTGCACAAGTACAGAAGTGTAGTATGAGTAAAACCAACTCAATATACTCCCTAAGTATCGAGCCTAACCCCGACGAGGTAGTGACGAAATCAAGATAAGACACTTACATATAAGCATGTATAATTAAGTAACGAGAAATAACGAGACAAGATAACAAGTAAAATAGCAAGTAAGATGACAAGTAACAAGAATAAAAGTAAGGAGGTACGAGAACATAAGAAAAGACATGACTAAAGTAAACCACAATTTATGCTTCTACAAGCATCTCGAACAAGCATTCCAAAATAACCATGAAACAACATAACCAAGTCCTTAATCTGCATAATAAAATAAAGCACAAGCAGTATCAACAAACGGCACGACATCACCCTTCTTGCTTCTACTCTCACTCTCATACACAAAATATAATCGCAAGCACAAAAACACCCTTCATGTATATTCTCTCTTCCTATCGAGTACGGTAACACCCTTCGTGCAATGATATTAATATATAAAGAAAGCCCAAAAATATCCTTCGTGCACAATCACCCTTCCTGACAAGCACGGTAGCACTCTTCGTGTAGCTCACTCTTCCTCACTAAGAATAAACATGTAAAACAATACCAATCAAGTTGGGAAGCACAAACAATATCAAGAAGAGCGATTGAACATAGCTTGCCATTTGAGAATTTACCATCACTTTTGCATCACTAGCTAGCCAAATCAATATTTTAATAATTTAACGCCCAATCTCTAAACAAGCTCAACATAGTTATTAACATGAATAAGAACAATCAAAGAGTTTCACAATCTATTTAGAGCATAATACATAAAGCAACATGGCATAAATAAAGCTAGTTCTATCCGCATGCTTAACTTGTGGCAAACACATATACACTCGTCACCTTGTATGTACGCTGACCCAACACATAGAGTGTATAGCAATTAGGAATGATTACATCCTAATTCTCTCAGATCAAGACTAAACAAGACAATTACATCTTTCCGGCATAATTCAACAATCCAACCCAACTTTCCCTTTCGAATAAGCCTCCAAACTATCAGTATCTAGTCAAATATTACTCAAACAAGTCAAAACAAGCTTTAGGAACTACCCTAGTACCAAAAAGTCAATTCAGGCCCACTTGGTCAAAATTCGAATTTAAGACTACACCCCGATTACCCATTCACCCCGAGTCCAAATATGTAATGTTTTTCGAGATATGACCTCAAATCGAGGTCTAAATCTCGACAATACAAGATCCTAAATTTCTACCCAAAAACCTGATAAGTGTGGATTTTAATCACTTAGTAGTACCTTTTTGCTTTAGTTTTTAGTTCGAAAGTAATAATTTTTATCTCCGAATCTAATGGAAATGATGAATTGCAGGTGTGCTGGAGAATGTGGGCTAAATGAAGAAAAATAACTGGGAAAGGAGATGATCTAGATAAGTTTAACAAATAGGAGAAATGCTAAGAAAGGTGTGGTCCGCATAATTTCATCTGCGAACGCAAACGTTAGTGCAGTCCGTTGAAGATGAAATGCGGCCGCAAAGGAAGAATTGGAGCTTCAGGGATTTTTGGCAGAAGTATGTCCGCAGACTAAAACTGTGCGATCGTACTTGGTTCGGAAAACAGGTTCGCACTGACAAAGCTTTAAAGATTAGATAGTGTACAATCGAACAAGTCTAAAGCCTCCTCAAATGTGGCCCGTAAAAATTCATGTATGGCCGCAGAAGCTAAAGTGTGGCTGCAGAACTCCTCCAACTGAAAGCACCTGCAACATTATTCCAGCAAAGTGCAAACCCGCAGAAGATAAAGTGCGGCCGCAGAACCCTCCGAAAGGAAATTTTGTCAGAAATTTCGGAGCACTATAAATAGGCATGTATCACTTTTTAGGGCATCTTTTTGTATTGCAGCAGCAACTGATAGTTATTCTTAGCTATTTGGGAAAACTTTGAGCTACCATTAGAGATGATCAATTATTTTTCCATTTTATTTTAGCTTAATGACTTTAATATCTTCTTCTTTTTATCTTTCTATGTTCATTGCCATGAGTAGCTAGATTTTTATCTAAAGTTGTCATCCAACCCTAGTGTGTAGAACTTATAGGTATTTAATATTAATGATTGCTATTGATTGAGTTACTATTATTTAGCTTTGTTTATGCTTTAACGTTAGAATTAATGGTTGCAAATATTGATTCATACATATTCGATTTTGTTCTTACTTGAGAAAGATGAATTTAGTCTAGAACAACTTGGATAATAAGAAATTAAACTAGTTGAAGTATCGATTAGTTTAATTAAAGGATTTGAACTAGAGATAGGGATAATCTAACTTGGACTCATATTCAATTACTTTCATTGCTACCCATTTGGACTTAAGACAGCCAATTTGCGCATAATCATTCTTTAACCGAGAGTTACTGAGTGAGAATTTGTATATTAAGAGCCATAACAAACCCCGATCTGCCAAGCAAGCATAAATTTATTCTACCCATTAGGTTAAAACCTAGGTTAATGTTACAACTCTAGGATTTTTTCTATTTGACAAATCTTCAAAAACACTTGATTTAATACTTGTTTTCTAGTTTAGTCAAAATCATTAGTAGTTTAATTTAGCAAAATTGATACACACTTTTGTTTGGAAGTCAAATCTAGTTATCTCGAGTTTTCTCTTAAGTATTTACCTTAACACCCAATTTTAACTCCTTGTGGATTCGACTCTAACTCTTGTTGAATTTATTATTGTAATGACCGTTTCATATTCCCTTAATTAGGGTGTGAATTGGACGTGATCAAATTATGGCGCCGTTGTCGGGGAGTTTACGGTGTTAGATATATACTTGAGTTTGTTTCTTGAATTATCTTCTTTTACTTTCGTGATTCTAACTTGTTGAAGTAATTCTAGGTTCCAAATGGTGAAACGAGCTTGGAAACATACAATTGGGAGAGGTGGATGGCGAAGAGGAACAACTTGATGAAGTTCCACAACAAAACCGCTGAAGCCGTAGGCAACAAGAAAATGTGCCTCCACCTCCCCCACCTTCACCATCACCACAGCCATAAGCGGTGCAACACAAAATTTTTCCCAATAAAGGATATGCAAGTGCCATAGTCTCCCCTCACATTAAGGCAGACAACTTCTAAATTACCAATGTATTGCTCACTTTGCTCGAGCAACGAGGTTATTTCACTAGGGCGCCGAGTCAAAATACTTACAAGTATTTGAAAGGTTTTAAGGATACGTGTTGGGGAAGCAAACAAATAAATATTTCGGAATATACATTGCAATTAAGGATTTTTCCCTTCTCACTAAGGGGTAAGGCTTTGGATTGGTTTGAACGCTTACCTAATCATCCTATTCATAGTGGTATGAATTGGCAGTAAAGTTTATTTCAAAGTTCTTCCCTCTCGGGCATATGGAAACTATACGGTATGAAATATTGGATTTCATACAAGAGCCCAATGAACCTTTGCATGAAATTTGGGAGCGATATCGGACTATGGCGAAGGAGTGGCTGAATAACGATATGATTGACAACATGATCCAACAAACTTTCTACTGTGGTATTAATATCACAAATCAATGTATGATCAATCAATTGGCTGGATGCAACTTTATGACAATACCTTAGGCAGAGGCATATGAGATTATTGATGGGATGGTGAAAAATTCTTCGGCTTGGCAATCCCGAGCTAATGTTCACCAAGGTGATACCAACATGATTTATCTTCATAAAGAATTGCAAGACCATGGGCAAGCTATTGCCGAATTGATCACAACCATGACTCAACTCGCTAAGGCTCAACTTCAGCAAACTCAAGCTCCTAAGCAAGTTCATTCTATGGAAGGGGTGGGTCTCTTGACCAATAAGAAGAGGACTAAAGGTCCCCAATTTCAATCCCGGGTGGAGAATTATGCATATGATGAAGGTGGCTATGACCAAGATAACTCTTATCCAGAGCAAGAAAAAGAGGTACAATTTGTGAACAATTACCAAGGGCAACAGAGCAATTTTAAAGGCTCTAATAAAAAATAATGGAGTTCTAAAAATAGTCAAGGGAATTGTCATAAAAACAACAACCACCAAGAGAACTGGGGGAGGTAACAATCAAGGAAATTAGAGAAATAATAATAATCATGCAAATCGGAGTTCGGGTTCTCAAAGACCCTCAATGTACCAACAATCGAGCAACCCAACTCCTTATCCTTCCCATGATTTAATTTCTTCATGCAATGAGATGGATCATATTGAGAACTTATTCAAGCAAATGATGGAAAAGAATACAGACTCAGATTCCCAACTTACCTCACATACCACATCAATCCGTAATATTGAAGTTCAAATGGGGAAAATTTCTTAAGATCTTAATACTCATCCTAAAGATGCATTACTAAGTGATACAGTAGTGAACCTAAAGGGTGGTAACAATACATGTCATGTTATGGTGGTTATCATAAGAAGTGGAAGAGGCAGGAATGTACCCACCTCAAATGAAAAGCAACTTGTAGATGATGACCAAATGTTCCAAGAGGAGAAAATCCCACAAATCGATGTTCAAGGACATGATGACATCCGGATTGGTATTAATGATAGTGTGGAGGAGACCCGAGAAGAGGTTAACCCATCTAGGGAACACATAATTGATATGCCGGATCCGGTGGTACAAAAACACAAGGACCATTGCCTAAGCCTGCACTTCCTTACCTTAAAAGGCTTGCTAAATAAAATGATGAAAACCAATTCAAGAAGTTTATTCAAATGATGAAAGGTCTCTCTATTAATGTTCCATTGGTGGAAGCTTCGTAACAAATGCCTGGTTATAACAAGTTTATGAAAAATCTTATGACCAATAAGAGGTCGATAAACTTTGAAACAATCAAGGTCACTCATCAAGTGAGTGCTATTGTTCATTCTATGGCTCCTAAGTTGGAGGATCCCGATGCTTTCGCAATTCCTTATACTATTAGAAGTGTCGATTTTGCTAAATCTCTTTGTGATCTTGGGGCTCGTATCAATTTGATGACCTATCTGGTGTTCAAGACTTTGGGGATCAGGAAAGCAAGGCCCACATTGATGAGGTTGCAAATGGTCGATCGTACAATGAAGAGACTATTAGGAGTGATTGAGGATGTATTAGTTCGAGTTGATAAATTTATTCTGCTGGTAAACTTTGTTATTCTAGATTGTGAGGTTGATTATGAAGTACCTATCATTCTTGGAAGGTATTTCCTTGCTACGGGTAAGGCCCATTGTGATGTTGAAGTCAAGGAACTCACTTTTTGGGTTGGTGATGAACAAATGCGTCAACCAAATAACAATGAGGTGTTCTTTTTTTTTTTTTAGATTAGGTGATCGATATTATTGTTGATGATACTAGTGCTACAATTAATGTTGGTGACATGTGGAAACCTTTTTGCTAAACTTTGATGATGATAAGATGGATGGTTTCATGAAATGTGTGAATTCGTTGCAAGGTATGGGGTCTTACAACTATGACCCCGAAAGTTATCATTGGATCTTGAGAATAGGAAGACTCCTCCTACAAAGCCTTTAATTGAAGAGCCACTAACCTTGGAGTTAAAGCCATTTCCACCTCACTTTCGGTATGAATTTCTTGGCCCTTGTTCTATTTTACCGGTTATTCTTTCCTCTTGTTTGACTAACGTGTAAGTAGATTCCACATTGGCGGTTTTGAAAAGGAGGAAGAAAGTTATTGGGTGGACTTTGGCGTACATTCGGGGTATAAGCCCTTCATTTTTCATGCATAAAATCAAGTTGGAGGATGGTTCTAAACCTTCCATTGGACATCAAAGGAGACTCAATGAGGCTATGCAAGAGGTGGTCAAAAAGGAGATTATCAAATGGTTGGATGATAAGGTTGTCTACCCTATTTCCAATAGCTCATGTACTTCTCTAGCCCAATGTGTCCCAAAGAAGAGGGGCATGCTAGTACCAATGATAAGAATGGGTTGATACCTATAAGAACGGTCTCCGGTTTTAATGGATTATCGCACGTTCAACAAAGTCACAAGGAAGGACCACTTTCCTCTTCCTTTCATGGACCAAATGCTTGATAGGCTGGCCGGCCATGCCTTTTATTGCTTTCTTGATGGTTACTTAAGATACAACCAAATTATTATTGCACCGAAAGACCACAAGAATACCACCTTTACATGTCCATATGGTACTTTTGCTTTTAAACGAATGCCTTTTGGATTGTGCAATGCACAAATGACTTTTCAACGATATTGTCACGACCCAAATCGATGGGCCGCGACGGGCAGTCGGTACCTTACTCAACCAAGTACCAATATAATGTATCTTTAATATTATTCTATCATAGGTAAATGAACCGGAGCAAAACATGAGGGAATACAAACTTATACATATGAAGTACGAGCTTATATGACCAAAATAGCCACTCATAAACTGAACATGGGCTGAAAAGGCCATACAATCTTTTACATACATGACATCTATCTACAAGCCTCTAAGAATACATAATTTGTATAAAGGTCAGAACAGAGTCTCGCCATACCAAACAATACCTGTCTAAATCATACTAACCAATCAAGCAACTCCGAAGCAAATGGAGCGCACCAACATCTTTCGCTGAGCTGATAGCCTACTTAGAGGGCTCTCGACCTATCTATCGGGACCTGCGGGCATGAAATGCAACGTCCCCAGGAAAAAAGGGACGTCAGTACGAATAATGTACCGAGTATGTAAGGCACATAAATAAGTACATAATAGACATGGAAGAAACATAGAGTAAATGACTCAACTTGTAAGTCTTGATAACTTTGTAAATCATGAAATACTTATAGTGTCATGCATATGCATATGAATGTCATGTCGTGNTGATAACTATGTAAATTATGAAATACTTATAGTGTCATGCATATGCATATGAATGTCATGTCGTGCATAGGTACATATGTTCATAACATCATCAAGCTTATGAGGGCATTCCATCATATCATCTCGGCCACTGTGGGAAAATCATGAACGTATACCAGCTGATCAGGTGGTGGTGCATATATAACGCCATAACCTTTTCCCATATCCCATATACATATATATACATATAAATATACATATATAATACCATCTGGTCATGTGCCAATGTGCATGTATAAATGCATGAAATGCATATGAAATATGTTAATAAAATCTCTCGGTACGTCATAAGACCATTATACCTCTGCTTAATATTATGAAATAAACTTTACCAACTTTTATATTTTTTAGACCCATGAACAGATGATATAATAATATAACACATGGGAGAATAAGAATATACACAACTCTAGCATTTTTACGAATAAAGTAATTTATGGAAGTTATGCATTTGCTCATTTCGTTTATATCTTATGGATCATGCCAAAGAAAGGAGGGCTTAGCTTTAACATAACTGGAGTAGGGAAAAATCCGTATGATATTCTTGGAAAAGGTTGCACCGTACCCTCTTAGAACCGCAAAATCTTAAGTTGCTAAGGTGTTAATAGATCTCGCTAGAATTGTTTTGTTGCAAGAAACTTTGTTGAAAATTTGTTGGATTGGGTTTAGCGTCTGTTTTGAAATATTTTGAATAAGGGAGAAAGTTATGAGAATGAAGATGTGATTCCTGTCTTTAAGACACATATTGGTTCCTTTTTCTAAAATGATATATCACTAATTCATGTCTTTAAGACATATAATGACTCCCATTTTCCCAAAATGGTATATGACTCAAGACTTGTCCAATTCTCTAATCTTGCCACATATATTAATGACTTAATAGTCATACATGGGAATGGGGGTGTTGCCATGTAGGGAGGGTTAGTCTTATCCAAACGTTTCTTAATTAAATTGTTAATCTCCCATTAATCAATAATTAACCAATTATCCACATAATTAAGAATTATTTCTAATTACATAAAATGATACTCACTTTTAATACACTTTATATACCTTACTATCATGGCTATGTGGTACCTTGTATGGTACTAGTCCATAAATATCGGGTATTAATGCTCAACCCGTATTTTATCCCAACATGTCAAACTTGGACGACAATTCATTTTCTTTGACTTGCTTCCCCTCTCAACTTCACGAATTTACTCATCACTTGTGAAATAGCATAATCCTTATAATCTCCGAATAATCTTTTCCTTGGATTGACGTCAATTACCTTACAACAAATTCAATATAAAATACTACAGGGTGCAACATTGTCATAATTTAATACTGTGAAGCGTAACGTCGACGTAATATTGCGGGGCATAAGATCATTCCCCCCTTTAGAACATTTGTTCTCGAATGTTGACTGATGCTCTTATCTTTTTTATAACTTATAGCTCTTGTGAATACCGTAATACTCTCCTTGCCATTTAGGCAGTTGTTCTGTAAATAAATCCAAAGGCCAGGGCATTCCCCCCTTTAGGCTTCTTTCCCACGCCATGACTTGTGATCAAATTCCTTCCAATCTCGTAACTGTTGCTACCTTCTATCTTGTAGCCTCTACGATACTGACCTTGTAAGTGTGCCTATGCAACTCTTCTCTCCTTTTTTCTTCCAGCTTTTAGCCAATTTCTAGGCCTTACTTTGTAAACATATACAAGGCTTAATAGGACGCCGCTCTGGGCATCTATATGTGTACTGAAGTTCTTTGCTCGATACTTTGTAGAACTTACGAATATGGCTATATCTTATTTCATAGATCTGGTTCTCCATTGGTATGACTTTACTGCATTTACATGGGTTATATTATACCGTAACTCTTACTTCGATTTATCGTTATTGAGGTATGCTTACCAAACTCCAAGTTACTTTTGTTGCATATCCTTTAGGTATAAATCTCAGTCCTTTAATGCTCCTTCATTACCATCCGTCTTAAGAAGGATGGCGTAATCTCATGTCAGACTTTGTAACTTGTATCTGTCCATTGTTGATTCACTTCAATGTTGATCTACAATCCTCTACTTGAAGATTTGGAACTTCTTACGTAGTACATTGCCGCTAGAGCTTACGTTGCATTGAGGAATATTTGAAGTGATTTCCATAATCGTATCTCAATGTATCCTAATCTTGTGCCGTCAGTGAAATCTTTTCTCATTTTCTTCCTTTTAAAAAAAAATTATTTTTCAAACGAAGGCCCAAACATCATCCTTATCTATTGCAATCACACATTTATTTCACTACCAGGGCAGCATTCCATCTCTTCTAAATGCTACTAGTCTTAGACTCCTTTGAGTTTATTTAGGCCATTAGTTCTTATTGTTTTCATGGGCTTAATCCTGAGGACTTATCCATTTTCGTCATCTTCTCACTTGCCTTCTTCTTATCATTACTCTTGTCTTTCTAAAACCTTGTCGTTCTATCATACTTTAGCTTGCGACCAATTTCCTTATGCTTTTCTGGAACATCAAGGGAGATATCACATCTTCTCTAACTCTTCTTTTAATCTCTTAACTAGAACTTTCGATACCTAGAAACCATAGGCTAGAAGATATGCCACTGACGATGCCGCTATCATTCCTGGATATTAAAAATCCCCGCGCTTCTAGCCTTCTACCTGAAGTATGGACTACTCACAACCTTCTGCATTTGAGTATCTCGTACGTTGTCCACCTTTACTTACTTACCTTAGAGTCTCGCATCACGTCTTCTATCTCTTTCATGACCTTCCTTCCACATAGGTATAATTCACATCCACAACTTGAACTTTTATTATAATACTTGCACCTTTTTACATGATTCAGTGAGAGCTTCATACTGACTTCTTATGAGGCTGGTACTCGTCTAACTGGCTTTATCGTAGAGCCATTATAAAATATGGCCACTGTATTTTCTCTCTTGTACCTCTGATATTAAGAGTGATTCTGCAATGTTCTCAATCACGGTGTCCATAATTTTCTGGGTCCAATAATCAAACTCCTGATTTACTTAGTTGATGTAACTCTTTAGTTTCCTCTTTCCTCTGATCACCTTTATGTAGACTTAATCTATGTTCTGATCTGTGGCCCATAGTATTAGTTATTACTTTAGCCCTTCATGGACGCTATGGAATATCCATGATACAATCTTCTAACAGTTCAATCCTTTGTCTATAACTTGGGCTCAATTCTTTCTTTTAACTTATACTGAAATCTTTTACGTCTGTATGATTGTCAGCATATATGTTGCATGGATAATACTCCGAAATCTTAAGTGCTTTCATAACGTAACTAACTCTGGATCATTGATCGAATAATTCCTTTCGTTTCTTCTCAGCTTTCTTTAAGCATAAGCTATTACCTTTCCTGGTCTTTCTCCCCCTTTGTTGGGTGCATAAGTAACTT